TTCATTATGTTAATTGGTTCAAATATCATAAATAAAGTCTAAATGAATAAAATGAATAAACACATCCACAGAGAAATGCAGAAAATTTCAAACACTGTATTTCTATCTCAACAACAGCCAGAAATCATCCTTCATTTATTTAATTTACAGTCAAAATGGCCATTTAGTACAATTTATTCATTTTCAGGAGATATTTCTGAGGATTAGGACCCAAAAGAAAAGCATTTGCAAATCAAACAAAGAAGCTGCTGATGTTCTCAGAACAATGGAATGACCACGCTAGAGTCCAGACCTCAACATTGCTGAATGTGTGAGATTACTAGCCATGGAGCGCCAGATAGACCACACAAACTGTGGGGTTGCCAAGTGCTGAAGCACACAGTGTCTATCCTCTGTTGAATCACTCACTAAACAGTTCCGAATTGCCTCTGGAGGCAACATCAGTGAAAGAACTACACATTAGGAGCTTCATGAAATGGGTTTCCATGTCCGAGCAGCTGCACACAAGCTTATGATCAAAATGCACAATGCCAAGCGTCGGATGGAGTGGCGTAAAGCGTCGCCACTGGACTCTGGAGCAGTGGAAACGTGTTCTGTGGAGTGATGAATCACACTTCTCTATCTGTCAGTCTGATGGATGAGTCTGGGTTTGGCGAATGCCAGGAGAACCTTACCCATCTGACTGCATTGTGCCAACTGTAAAGTTTTGTGGAGGTGGGATGATGCTATGGGGTTGTTTTTCGGGGGTTGGCCTAGGCCGCTTAGTTCCAGTGAAGGAAATCTTAATGCTTCAGCAGACCAAGACATTTTGGGCAATTCTATGCTTCCAACTTTGTGGGAACAGTTTGAGGAAGAACCTTTCCTGTTCCAGCATGACTGAGCCCCAGTGCACAAAGCAAGGTCCATAAAGGCCTGGCTGGGTGAGTTTGGTGTGGAAGAACTTGACTGGCAATAAATAACTTGAAATAACTTGAAATAAACAAGTTGTACTTAAAGGCCATTTCATCATTTCATGATGCATATTTTTGTGTGCATCTGTATACACAAACTATGCATGTATTTACACATGCTGCATCATCTAGTAATGTATGCATGCATGCATTTATGCTGCATGCAATCATTTAAGTGCGTATGCAAAATGTATCGCCTGTATGAATTTATTTATATATGCTTTTGCATATGCAATCAGCATCTATCGTGTACATAAACAAATTGCCTGCATCTACTATATATGTGCAAAAACATCCTGTATGCATCTGTTTATCTGAGCATCTGTAGCTGTATAAACACCCAACTAAAGGTGCCCTGTGGTCAGGTTTATGAAAGAGGCCATTGAAGCCTAATATGCCATGTGCACCAGGATCATCAGTCAACTGTACATCATTGGTGGCACAAGCAGTTAAAGGTTACCAGACGACATGGAAAACACAAACACATTTCAGTTACTCTTAGAGTTTGGATTCATAATGAGCGTAAATGTGTGTAAATGTTACATGTTGTTTTTATGTGTATAGATGTCAGAGGTGAGTAGTGACTAGTTACAATTTAGTCATTAACATTTAGAGACTAATTCCTTATTTATGTTTAATTTTACCGTGTTATGTCAGACAGATGCTGAGTGTATTAAGAAGTTCCGCTGCAGCTCCATACAAAGCTACTTAAAGGGGAACTCCACTGATCTTTCAGAAGTATGTAAACAGTTGTTCAGAGAATAAACAAAGTGGATGTGAACAGAGTCATTCAAAGTGGTTTGATGTGAAATGGTTCATTGTAGAAAAAACATACTGACTTATTTACAGTGGTGATGATAGGAACCAGCGGTCACAATATCTACAATGTATATTTTGTTTACTACCCAAAACCACCAGTGAACCTACACATGAATTTATATATGTAGTAACTCCTCCACCACTGTAAAACAATGTCTCATACATCAGGCAGCATATTCAGAATGCACTGAAAAAAATGGTCTCTTGGCAAGTGAAATGATCTCAAGTCTAGTTGGCATTCACTATATGGACAAAAGTATTGGGACACCTGCACATTACACCCACAAAGCTTTTATGTCATCTTACTATAAATCCATAGGCATTAATATGGAGTTGGTCCCCCTTTGCAGCTATAACAGCTTCCACTCTTCTGGGAAGCTTTCTACAAGATTTTGGAGAGTGTCTGTGGGAGTTTTTGCCCATTCATCCAGAAGAGCATTTGTGAGGTCAGACACTGATGATGGACGAGAGGGCCTGGCTCACAATCTCTGCTCTAGTTCATCCTAAAGGTGTTCAATGGGGTTGAGGTCAGGGCTCTGTGAGGGCCAGTCAAGTTCTTCCACACAAAACTCACCCAGCCATGACTTTATGGACCTTGCTTTGTGTACTGGGGCTCAGTCATGCTGGACCAGAAAAAGGAGCATTAATATTTCCCTTTCGCTTGAACTAAGGGTTCTAGACCAACCCCTGAAAAATAGCACCACAGCATTATCCCTCCTCCACCAAAACTTTACAGTTGGCACAGTGCAGTCAGGCAGGTAACATCCTGGCATTCGCCAAACCCAGACTCGTCCATCAGACTGACAGATAGAGAAGTGTGATTCATCACTGCACAGAATACATTTCCACTGCTCCAGAGTCCAGTGGTAGCGCTTTACACCACTCCATCCGATGCTTGGCATTGCGCTTGGTGATGTAAGGCTTGCACGCAGCTGTTCAGCCATGGAAACCCATGCCATGAAACTCCCTGTGCTCAGCTTTTGTGCTGATGTTAAAGCCAGAGGAGGTTTGGAGCTCTGCAGTTATTGATCAGCAGAGCGTTGGTGACTTTTATGCTCTACGCTCCTCAGCACTCAGTGACCCGCCCTGTAACTTTACGTGGTCCGACACTTCGTGGCTGAGTTGCTGTGGATCCTAAACACTTCCACTTTTCAATGATGCCCACAGTTGATTGTGGAAAATCTAGAAGGGAAGAAATTTCATGAATTGACATGTTGCAGCGGTAGCTTCCTATTACAGCACCACGCTTGAATTCAACGCTTGAGCTCTTTAGAACTTCACTAACGTGTGTAAAGGCAGACTGCATGGCTAGGTGCTTGATTTTATACACCTGTGGCAATCAGACTGAATGAAAGACCTGAATTCATTGATTAAGATGTGTGTCCCAATACATTTTTCCATATAGTGTAGCTAATAATTAGATAATTTTGCCTATTTCAAGCACATTTCTTACAACAAGCAGTTATCTGCCAATATAGTGAGATAATTTCGCTTAAAAGAAGTAAAAAATGTCTAGAGATAAGGCAAATAATCTGAAATTAGAAATATTGGATATATTGACTAGATTTAGCATAATTTCACTTGCCAATATACCATTTTTTGCAGTGTGATGTCATGTAATAACATTCTGTGAGGCTTTTAGAGGCATTAAACTCTTTGGACGTCTGGTTCCTATCACCACCACTGTGAATGATTCTGATTCGGTAGGTTTCACAGGATCAAAGCATTTCACATCAAACCATTCTGAATGACTTTCTTCACATCTTAATGATTGGTTTATGCAGAAATATTGTGAAATCATTCCCTTTTAAGTAGTTCTTTGTCCTGCTACTTTCATACTTCCAGTGAAGCTGTTACTCGCCCTGATAGGAAAGCCAGCATTGACCACCATGTCTGCTCACCAGCAGCAGAAGCAATGGAAGATATTACGCTGGTCAGCAAAACATGTCGTGTTTTGGAAGCCGGTGACCAGCTAAACCAGCACCAAACCAGCAACACTCTGCTGAAAAAAGTCATAAAAAACATTTAAAATATCTATTAGCCCCTGGTGCTGTCCAGTGCTCAGTAATGGTGTTTTGTGTTTTCCTAAAGGGGTTGATATCACAGTGTAAAGAACTGATTCCAGATACATTTGATGGGTTTCTAACAGGATCTAAAGGTGTCCTCTAGGTAACTGCTCGTTAAAGGTAATCATTAAGCCCATTCCCATTAGAGCGCAACACCCTCAGCAGGTTGGAAAGACTTTTACTTTTTCTTGTGTCTGTGTTTCACTTAAGTATCAATACTTTCACTGGTATATGGGTTTGGGCTAAAAACAGGAAAACAAAGAGTAAAATGTGACAGTAAAAGTAAGATTACCTCCCAGATTACCTTTACAAATATACTAAATAAAAGCATCATCATTGAAAGCACTCAGGAAAGTAGAAACCAGACAAAATACTCTGCAGCCAATACAAATGAGGTATTGGTGGATATTATATCTGAATTGTTTTGCTGGCCATTTTATGTAATACCCAAAACCAACAGTGAACCAGTTTTTTAAAGCCTTTACATTGTGTGTAAATTTCAAGATGAATGAACCAAAAGAAATGGCCCAAAATTACTTGGACAAACAGTCTGGTTCCATTGACTTACATTAAAAGTGTACATAAAAAATACATATATGGTGGTAAAATAGTCTTAAATCTGAACAAATAAGTTTTATTTGGGGACTACTTTGCCTTAGAACACCCTTCACGTATCCCTCCACCATGAACAGATAAAAAAGAAAAACTGATTCAAAACACTTTTTAGGCCACATTTTTATCACAGCGTCTCAAACATCAGGCTGAATATTCATAACCAGTTAAAATAAAAACTTTCTGTGAGGGAGTTTTTAGAGGTGGACGTCTGGTTCCTATCACCACCACTGTGAACAATTCTGCCTCAAGCCTTTTTACATCTCAACCATTTACTTATGCAGAAACTTTGAATAATCGGTGGAGTTCCTCTTTAAAAAGTTCGACCCCGTTGGCTGTTAAGGCTGCGGTGCTGAATGCAGCTCTTCACGCCTTTTCGCCAAAGAAAGTAAAGGGGAGGGCCGCTGGCAAAATACCGCGCTTCCAACGAAGTGTCTGAGAACTCGCCCGTCACTGTTCATGACGGAACGCGCCCGGAGCGCAGCGGGGCCGGCGCGCTGTTGTGAAAGCAGGCAGAGAGCAGAGCTGCTGACGCTGAGGAGCGGCTCTCTCACCGACGATGGACGGGCTGCACGTGCTCGCCTCCTTCGAGAAGGAAATGACCGCTTGTGTTTTTGACGCCCTGGATATCCCGGCAAGTCGCTGTCAGGCTGCATAAGGTGTTTGTTTTCCGCGTGAACGCAGCCACTGCGCGCTGCTGAGAAGCGACCCGGGGAGGATGACCGGTGAGTGAGCCAGAAAACGCTTCCTTCACTCTGTCAGGGTAATTAGCGCTGCTGACCAGCTGCAGGTTCACTAGTGAAAGTCAGAAGCGGTAAAATTGTGCTTTCATTCTGGGAACAAGCACGTTTTGCGTGCGTGAAAAGTCACAACTTGTTGTCCTTATTTGCTTATTGGCAGCTATTTGAATACATTTCGCCCCCATTGTTTACAGAAGAGCAGCGCTGAAAATCCATATTTCCATACGATTTGCATTCGAGGGCAAAGATGAACACAAACACAGACTTTCAGCCTAATCTAACCGTCACTCACTGCAGAGCCGAGAATAGAGAGACTCGGTGCTCAGGTACTAAAGCCAAGCAGTGACAGGGCAATTACACCGACTTTCCAAAATGTCTGGACAGTGAAAACTAAAATTAGTTGAATTTACTTAAAAAAATAATCACGCAAACTTTACTGCCCTGAAAAACTAAACTAAAGTTGGTTCAAGCTTGAATAATTTTAGATTTAAATTGTAGTCAGAGGCGTAGCCAAGGGTTGGCCAGCCTGGAATGAAGCATGGTCACCCTTCATCACCCTTCCATCATCAGTCAGCCATCATTAACAAAGCATCAGTTATGCTTTCTGGTGAAAATCTGTCATCAGTGTAGTTACCAGCCAGGTATAAGAGTCTGATGTCGCTGCTTTTAATAATTGGCATGTCTTGCTTGATGAAGGCTAATTTACAGGAAACAGGCGAGTGAATGTGCGCTGGCTCCCTTCAGCAGTGCTGCTCTGTGAGCTACATTATGAAGTAGGATGTTTGATGGCAAAATAGACAAATGACTTCATTAATCCCAGAGAGAAAGTCGCCTATTTCAGCAGCACGAAGTACAGTAGAGAGCAAAACAAGAGCAAAAGTATTGCCGTATGCTATTGTACAAAAGAACTAAAGATATATAATAAAGTATACTAAAACAACCATAAACAATTGTGTTGAGATGTGTTAAGTATCAAAAATGAGTCAGTTATAATGGTTTATCATGCTGACAAATTTCTTTTTACAGTTTAATACAGGCATGTGTTGGAGGTTCCCTTGTACAGTGCTGTCTGGTGAGCTTTCTAATCATTAGACTCATGTAGAACCTGTAGTGAATGCAACCCGTATGAATAACGTCTATGGCTTGTGTGTATGAAATGTTGTTAAAGTCAATGTTGTGCGCTGTAAAAAAAAAGTGATGCATTTATTTTATTTGGTTCAAATACTTCACCTCCGTCGTGAATGACTAAAATATGTCACATCACCACAGTTTTGTCTTTCAGTTTACACACACACATTACCTACCGCTTCTCCTGCTGGGTTGGAGGGGGGTGGGGGGGGTGGGGGATGGGGTGCTGAGGCCTATCCCAGGCACTCATTGATGGGAAGTCAGGAAACGCCCCGGACAGGCCGGCAGTCCATCACAGGGCAGACACACAGACACACACACTCACACCTAGGGGCAATTTACTATCTCCAATTGGCCTGCATGTCTTTGGACTGTGTAAGGAAACCAGAGCACCCGGAGAACACCCACGCAGACACAGGGAGAACACGCAAACTCCACACAGAGAGGACCCCGGTCGCCCGGCCGGGTTTTTATGTCTTTTATGCCAGGTTTTTATTATTATTATTTTCTTTGCTCTGTGCCCCCAATTAAATCTCTGGGTCTTACCTGGCCACCCCATTCTAAAAGTTCTAGCTACACCCCTGAATATAGTTAATAATTAAATATATTAAATATATAGTTATAATTAAATCATTATAAATAGTTCGTCAAGCTGGCAGTGCTCTACTTTTTCGATTCCGGCTTACTCTTCATTTAGTTATGCTAACCTGAATCAAATACTCTTCCTTGTGTTATGTATTAGCATCAATTATAACAACTCTATAACATCAAATGGACTGTTTATGACAGTAATTAGTAAATGCCTTAGATAAGATTACAGCCACCCTTTTCTGAAGACTCATATCAGCATATTTGGCACTCTGTTATCTTTCACTGGCTATGTTTACATGCAAAGATTTTTGCCAATCCGATTGAATACAATCCGATTACAGATGTAGACTGAGGTGTTTATATGCACACTCTATTTAACGATTTGATGGAAAATCTTCGTTTACATGCTCACTACAAGTAATCCGATGCAAAATGACGCGCATGCGCGGAGTAGCGTTTAGAGTAAACGTTACCATGACAACGAACATCACGTGAGGTCCAGTCCGCGTGATATGAGTTTCCAGTTGGCGCGCTTCTGTTTTAATTGCTTTAAAATGATGTCAGACGTGCTTCACATGTGCTTATAAAGGAAGCGGCGAGAGGAAGACGTCGTGTTCTGAGACTCATAAGCTGGTCATCCGTCCCACCGCCGTCTTTTAAAGCTCAGAGCATAAACTTCGTCTCCCCTGCAGACCCGTTTCTGCTCCGCCATGCTGAACGGTATAAACTTTCGCCATGACGCGACGCACATGCGCAGAACATACTTACACGTTCCGATTGGAATGTAATCGGATTCAGGCGTTTACATGGCTATTATTCTTCTATTTAACGGATTATTTAGAAGTTTACCCACCTCGTTCAATCGGATAGAAATTGTATTCCGAATGGCCTCAATCGGACTAGTCTATTCCGATTGAGGTGTTTACATGGACGTGTTCTATTCCGATTGAGCTATTAGTCGGATTATTAACGGATTATCAGGCTGCATGTAAACGTGGCTATCGTGATAGGCTGAACTGATAAACTTTAACACAAACACCATCATGATGAAAACAGCTAAAACATGTAAAATGCATACGTAGCTTAACAGTTGGCACAAGAGTTTGATATGACACAAAAACAACATTCTGCAAAGAGAATTCTATAATTAACTTAGAAAAATCAGAGTTAAATATCCAACAATAAGAATGCTGGGAAGCTTTTTGGGCAAAAGACTTTTCAGTCTGTAGGGCTTCTCTAAATGAACTGGCCTGAGTTAGATTCACCTCAGTAACTAAGGCGTTACACAAGAAATAATAAGTGATACTAGATCTGTATTAGTAATTTTAACAAATAAGTAAACAACCTAAAAGGTAGTGCAACTGTAATGTTTTTCAGTGTGGAGTTATTTTTTAAGATGTAAACAAAGTCATTCAGAGTGCTTTGGTGGGAAATGCTCCATTCTAGAGAAACTCATAGTCAGAATTGTTAGCAATGGTGGTGATAGGAACCAAACGTCTGAAGAGTCTAATGCCTCTAAATCTCCTACACGGGATGTTATTACATGAAATGGTTACAAATATGCTGCCTGATGGCCGAGACATTGTTTCACAATAGATATGAGATGAAGTTTTGGCCTAAAACCAGTAGCCAAAAGTTTCAGATTTACCGCTATTGTGCCGCCATTCTCAACATTACATATCGCTGCTGTTGGGACAAAACGTTGTATCTCCATTTCTGTTTTTCAGTTTTTGACATAATTTGAAAAAGCCTGTTGCCCTTTACAATATGTGTAAATTTCATGATGAAAGGACCAAAAGAAATGAGTCAAAATGACCTGGAAAAACGTCTGGTTCCATTGACTTACATTAAGAGTAAAGTGTGTTTTTTCCTTCTCCTGTAAAGTCACCATTTGGACAAGGTTTTGTTCTGACAGCAGTGTTATAAAGCATCAGAAGACGTGTGTAGGTTCACTGATGGTTTTGGGTAGTAAATAAAATGGCAATATTTGTGACATTGAGACCCCTGGTTCTTTACAAGTGAACCATTTCACAGCAAACTACTCTGAAAGACTTGGTTCAGTGATCTCAGTGATTGGATTACGCAGAAATGTTCTATTAAATCACCCATATCTTACATTTTTAAAATGCATTTCTTGCCTTTAAAACTGATATATGTAAATGAGCTCTGTTCTGATTGGCTGCTCTATAGTCTGCCTCATTTAAAAAAAAGCAGTCCGGACTAAAACACTCCTTGTACCTTGAGTGTGAATGGGTGGAGCGAACTGCCATAGGCTGAACAGGTAGATACAGTGGTGTGAAAAAGTGTTTGCCCCCTTCCTGATTTCTTATTCTTTTGCATGTTTTTCACACTTAAATGTTTCGGATCACCAAGCAAATTTAAATATTAGACAAAGATAACACAAGTAAACACATAATGCAGTTTATAAATGAAGGTCCCCCCCCCCATTAAAACATAAATTAACTGTGGTTTATCACATCTTTGTAAAGCTGTGTTCAATTTCCCTAACCACACCCAGGCCTGATTACTGCCACACCTGTTCTCAATCAAGAAATCACTTAAATAGGACCTACCTGACAAAGTGAATTAGACCAAAAGATCCTCAAAAGCTAGACATCATGCTGCGATCCAAAGAAATTCAGGAACAAATGGGAAACAAAGTAATTGAGATCTGTCAGTCTGGAAAAGGTTATAAAGCCGTTTCTAAAGCTTTGGGACTCCAGCGAACCACAGTGAGAGCCATTATTCACAAATGGCGAAAACATGGAACAGTGGTGAACCTTCCCAGGAGTGGCCGGCTGACCAAAATTACCCCCAAGAGCACAGCGACGACTCATCCAAGAGGTCACAAAAGACCCCACAACAACATCCAAAGAACTGCAGGCCTCACTTGCCTCAGTTAAGGTCGGTGTTCATGACTCCACCATAAGAAAGAGACTGGGCAAAAATGGCCTGCATGGAGTTCCAAGACAAAAAAACACTGCTGAGCAAAAAGAACATAAAGGCTCGTCTCAGTTTTGCCAGAAAACATCTTGATGATCCCCAAGACTTTTGGGAGAATACTCTGTGGACTGACGAGACAAAAGTTGAACTTTTTGGAAGGTGTATGTCCCGTTACATCTGGCGTAGAAGTAACACAGCATTTCAGAAAAGGAACATCATGCCAACAGTAAAATATGGTGGTGGTAGTGTGATGGTCTGGGGCTGTTTTACTGCTTCAGGACCTGGAAGACTTGCTGTGGTAAATGGAACCATGAATTCTGCTG